AAAAAATCAGACCTGGAAGCTTGGGACAGACCAAGGGATAGAAATGTGATTCAAGTCAAGTGGATCTCAAGAAGAAATATAGTCCTGATGGTTCAGTACATAAGCACAAAGCAAGGTTGGTTCTCAAGGGGTTTGCTCAACGATATGGAATTGATTTTCATGATACATTCGCACCAGTAGCAAGGCTTGACACAATCAGGTTGTTACTTGCTCTTGCGGCTCAATCTCGTTGGAAAATATTCCAACTGGATGTCAAGTCTGCGTTTTTAAATGGATGGCTCAATGAAGAGATCTTGTTGAGCAACCGGATGGGTACCAAGTTCAAGGCCAGGAGAATAAAGTATATCTTCTGAGGAAGGCCTTGTATGGCCTAAAACAGGCTCCTAGAGCCTGTACAGCAGAGATCAATGAATACTTGAGTGGCTTGGGTTACTTGAGAAGTCCCAATGAACATACCTATATGAAGAAACGTGGAGGGTGAATGATCATTGTTTCACTGTATGTTGATGACCTTCTCATCATAGGCAGTAGTCCAAGTAGGGTGGATGAATTTAAGGAAGCAATGAATTGTGAGTTTGAAATGACGATCTCGGGATAATGTCTTATTTTCTGGGTATGGAAATTAATCAAACTTCAAGTGGGATATTTGTCAATCAGAGGGGTATGCTGAGGAGGTTCTTAAACGTTTGGCATGGAAATGCAAGCCAGTCAATACACCTCTGTTGCTACTCAGAAATTGAGCAAAGAGGACGGGGCTGTCGGGGTGGATGAGAGTTTGTACAGAAGCTTAATAGGCTGTTTGCTGTATCTAACAACAACGGCTTGACTTAATGTATGCTACAAGTCTCCTTTCCAGGTTTATGACTAATCCAAGTGTAAATCATTTCAGGGCAGCTAAGAGGGTGCTCAGATATATTAAGGTAATCCTGGACTTGGTGTGTGTTCAGGAAATCTGAAAGTTTTCAATTGTGGGATATTCGGACAGTGACTGGGCTGGATCATAGATGACATGAAGAGTACATCCGGCTATGTATTTTTCTAAATTCTGGTGTCTGTGGTTGGCTATCCAAAAGGCAAGCAACGGTAGCTCAGTCAATAGTAGAAGCAGAATACATCTCTGCTGCTGCTGTGCGTGAACCAAGCCATTTGGCTCAGAAAGATTTTGAATGATCTCAACCAAACACAGAGACAGCCTACTGTAATTTTCTGTGACAATTTGTCTACAGTTTCTATGGCTAAAAATCCAGTTAATCATGGCCGTACCAAACATATTAAGATAAATACCATGCAGTAAGAAAGCTGTGCAAGATCATGAAGTTAAGTTGATACACTGCCGGGAGAAGAACAGGTCGCTTATATCTGACTAAGCCGTTGTCCAAAACCAAGTTTGAATATCTTTAGTTCAGACTTGTGTTTCCAGCAATGACATCAAGGAGGAGTGTTGAAAGGTGATATCATGCTGGAAATGCAGAAAGGTGGTAGAATTTTGAACTGCAATTTAACGCCTGTTATCTCCCGTAATTCATGCAGAAGCAGTTTTTTTGGTCACTATGTTTGATTTGTTCAGTGACTTGTTTAGGTGTATTAAGTTTGGTTAAGTGTAGTTTCTCTCTGCTTGTAAGTGTATTAGTAGGTGGAGTTAGTTTAAAATTGAATTTGAATTGTTTTAGTTGAAACAGTGACGTTGGCGTGTATATATTTACCCCTGTTTTTTGAATAAAAAACAGAGCATTATTGCAGTCTGAGTTTCTCTTTTTCTTTTCTGTTTTTTCTCTTTCGTTTGCATGCAAAACTAACAGGATCTCATATCTGAGAAACCGTATTTAAACAATGCATTCGGAGTTTTTTATTTGGACCGCAAGAGCATTTGATGCTCCCATTATATAATTTTTGATTACTTTCATATGGACCTGTTCTTCAATCCTCTGTATAGGATAACTTTAGGACTGGTCATATTTACATTTTTTTTCTTTTTTTTTTTGGAAGACTTATCATGCCTGCTGGCTGAAGAATCCAACTGATAATAAGCTTAGGTCAGGATGATAATAACTTCAGCGGAGTCAAATTTGCATTACAACTCTCTACAGACCAAATAGCATGATCTTGCGTGAGAAATTACAATAAGCAAATAGTTCAAAAGATAACTTTAAACTCTACACAAATGAAGATCACAAATACTTTAACCCCAAGAACGTCAAGAAGGACTTTCTGGGTTTTACAGACTTACAAGTCATTCTAAACTACATTTAAGGCACTTAATTCTCTGAAACTAGCCCTTTTCTCCACAGACGCGAATCACTTCTTCCCTGCTTTGGTTTGCCATCTTGATGCTGTGCTAATAGTACAAGTGTCCAAGTCAAAACATTAGCAGTTGTTCCTTTCTGCAAAATAAAAGGTCTTGCATTCATCTATAATTTCATTTCCCCTAATTTCTCTACTTGTTATCTTGATTTTTATAGGACGACATTAAAAGACTAAGTAGATTTCTTGAGTTTCTCTTGCTATTTCGTTATTCTTGACCAGCATCCGTATTGATTCGTGAGTTTTCTTACTACAATGCTCAAGAAAATATATAGCTTTAACTCTTGCTTTTATCCCAATCCAAATCATGAAATTACAATAAGAAAATTAATGTCTATCCAATTTGCCATAGTCTTACAAGAAAACTAAATTATTACTGTTGTTTTACAAGTTTTTGGGCCTGAAACTGGGCATTAGAAAAGAACCCAAGTCATAACCATTATCTTAATTACATCATAATGTACCAACTATTACTTTTTCTATTTCTATAGGATGTACCAAACTTGTACATCGTCAAATACTCTAGAACTAACCTCTAACATTGTTAAAAATAAATGACAGTTTTTTTTAATTCTAAATGGGTATGTGGAAATTTATGTGGTTGATGAGTACATGTAACGCTGATGGACTTTTTTTAGGGTTGATGTACATTTTTATATTTTAAATTCTTCAGATTTACCCCTTCAATTTTAATCCACAAAATGTACACAAAATAACTAAAACCACCCAGAACGAAAACTGACCGATTAAAAACTCAGCCTAATCACGTAACCAACAATTAAGCATAAAACAATTAAACCTAAAAAGTGATTGAAACAAAGAAATAGGAAAATCCAAACTCTTGCCTTGTCATTGAACAAATCTTAAAAGAAAAAAAAAATAAATACCTGCTAATTTTTCTTTTCCATCTTTAATTTGGTTCGATTGAAACACAATAAAAAGAAAATTAAAAAGTTTTCATTAAAGTGTTCTACAACGTGAAGCACAAAGAACAACCTTTTTGGGTTTAGGGTTTGTCAGATGTCGTTGTCTCTAGTTTAGGTAAAATAAAAAGAAGAATAAAGTAAGAGAAAGGCCAAGTGAAGTTAATAAAAGCTTATTAAAATGAAATACATAAAAACTTGGTGAGAAGAATGCGTAGTTCAACTCAATCACATCAGCAATTTAAAGACCTGTTCCACTAAGCCACTTCCCACAAATCTCTCCAACCACTCCCATCATATTTACCACTCTACCACTACTAAAATCTTATCTAGATAAAAACAAAATAAAAAAACCCAGGCCACTTCCCAACGTGAACAAGCCTCACGTGATAGATATTGACTTGGTAAAAAATTAATAAAATAAGTAATGAACCACAACACGTTAAGTTGCACTAATTTTTGACACTCCCCCTTAGTGCAAGCTTACAAGCAATACACCCAGAGCATCTCGAAAAACGTCAAACTTAGGCCTTGCCAAAGCCTTAGTAAATATATCAGCCACTTGTTCACTGTGTGGAATGCCTTTCAACTCAATCTCTTGATTAAGCACTTTTTCACAACATAATGATGCCGAACCTCAATATGCTTTGTTCGCGCATGGAAGACTGGATTTGATGCAAGTTTGATAGCACTTTCATGTCACATTGGATCTGCATAGCATAGTTAACTTTGCACACATGTCTCCGACCAACCCCTTCAACCAAATGCATTCTTGTGCAGCCTGGTTTTGCCAAATATTCAGCTCAGTGCTAGACAGCACAACAGCTTGCTTCTTGCTACCCAGGAAATCACAGCTAACCAGTGTTAAAACAATAACCTGAAGTTGAGCGACGATCATTTCTATCTCCAGCCCAATCTGCACATGAATCCACTCAACAAAAAATTATTACTCTTATATAAAAGGCCATGAGTGAGAGATCCTTTTATATAACGTAAAATTCTTTTTGCCGCATCTAAATGAGGAGTTCTTGGATCTTGCATAAACTGTGAAACAACACCAACAGAATATGAAATTTCTGGCCTTGTAGGTTAATATATTAAGCTTCCAACAAGTTGTCGGAACCTTTTAGCATCCTTCAACAGTTCCCTTCATCTTTCTTCAACTTGAGATATGACTCCATAGGAGTAGCCATTTCTTTTGACTCCCCCATGCCAAAATGCTCCAAGAGACCTTTTGCATATCCTTTTGAGAAATAAAATAACCTGATCTGATTTTTCCACTTCTAGACTAAGGAAACACCTAATTTCTCCCAGATTTTTCATCTCAAAACGCACAGATAAATCATTCCTTAAATGAGAAATTTCTGATTCATTATCTCCTGTTATTATCATATCATCAACATATATATACCAGCAGATGCATATTTGATTCTAATTTTATGAACAAACTAGAATCTGAATCAGAAACTTTAAAACCGCAAAAGATGAGATATTGAGCAACTTTACCATACCAAGCACGCGGTGCTGTTTTAGACCGTAGAGTGCTTTCTTTAATCGGCATACATGATTGAAATTGCTTAGAGACAAAACCTGGGGTTGCTCCTAAATACTTCACGATCCAACTCTCATAAAGAAATGCATTCTTCATCAAGTTGCCACAACTTCCAATCTTTAAAAGCAGCAAGTGAAAAAATGATCTCACCGTCACCATCTTTGCTACTGGCCTAAACGTCTCCTCATAGTCTAATCCATAGCTTTGAGAAAAACCACGGGCAACTAAATGAGCTTGAACCTATCATCGTCCCATCTGATTTTTTCTTCAACCGATAACCCATCTACAAGTGACTGGCTTACAATTTTCTGGTTGGGTACTAACTCCCACGTCTCATTTTTGTCTAATGCTTCAATTTCTTCTTGCATTGCTCTTCCCCATTTTAGACAGTCTTTGGCTTCTTCATAGCTTTCTGGTTCTTCTGCACTTAAAGCCCAGTAAAGAAACATGAGGTCACTGTGCAATGATAAGTTGTACCTCATAATCTTTGAGAGATCTGGCTGCCTTGTCTCCCTTGTTGATCTTCTCACTGCTTGTTGCTCACCATCTTCTGGTCTTGAATATTCTGCCTTGGATTCATTTTCTGTTTCATCATTGCTAGGTGCTTGCAGATTAATTTCAGAATAGAGGCTCAAAGTTGTCTTGATCATCATCAGAGCAATATTTTTACCACGGGCTTTTGCAAAACATAGAGATGATACTTCATCAAACACCACATCCTGGAAGTAACAAATTATTTGTTCCTGGTCCATACACCTCCAACCCTTCCTATAAGAGTCATAGCCAACAAATACACATTTCTTTGCTTTCGAGTCAAGTTTGGATCGATAGATTAGGAACAAAACTAACAAATAGAACCAAATACCCGAAGTAATTAACATTTGGCTTTTCACCATATAAAATCTCAAAAGGAGATTTTTGTGTACCTGGCCATGAGGTAACCTGTTTATACATGACATGCACACTGAATAGCTTCTGCCCAAAGTCCCGGGAAGATTCTTATCATGCAACCATGAAAGACAAACTGAAGCAAGATGACCAAGTTTCCTTCTGCAACTCCATTCTGCCGAGGGGTATCTGGACATGTCATTTGACGAAGAATACGTTGTCATCACAAAATTGAAGAAATCAGTTGACTATATTCCCCACCATATCACTCCGCAGACATTTTATTTTCTTCCTGAACTTCTTTTCAACAGCATCCTTGAATTCCATAAACTTGGTATAATGTTCACTCTTCTCTTTCAAAAATTTCACCCAAGTGAATCGTGAGTGATCATCCACCAATACCATAACATACACAATGTTTGCTATAGCTTGGTGTTCTTGTTGTCCCATCAAGTCTGTATGAACCAATTCAAATGAGGTGGATCTGCGATTTGATGAACTGTTAAAGGAAGACGATGTGATTTGCCATATTGGCAACCTTGACAAATCACATTCTCACGTACATCCTTCAAGTTGGTATGCCATCTATCAACTTTTTAGAAGAAATTTGCTGCAACATTTGGTAGCCTACATGACCCACCGAGCATGCCAAATTGCAGCACTATTGATTTGGCTCGTTTTCTTTACATAGGCTTCACCTGCTGACAAAACAAACAGAGAAGCTTTCTTCTCTCCGTATAGAATAACATCTGCAGATATATCTTTCACTTATCAAGCACCTTCACATCATTTGGACCAAACAAACATATTTGCCAGAATCAGTATTTGAGAAACTGAAACTAAATTTTTCTTCAAACTGAACATGATCACTCATTCACTTGACACTACTAGTTCTTGATCATCAGCAACATCGATTGTCACGACACCTTCTTTTGCTACCGGATAGGTTGAGTTATCTGTAGTAACACTAACCCGCTCTCCATGATGTTACGCATTTCTGAGAACAATGTGTCATTTCGGTTACATGGTGTAACAACTGAATCAATGATCCACTCCTCTTTGCGTTTTGACATAATTAACAAGAGTTTGGACTGACTTTTCTTCAACAGTAAAACATTGCTCCCATTTGAGTTGATCATCTCCTTCACTTGCACATCACACATGGCTTTGGAAATCTTCACACGACAATTTCTCTTAATATGCCCTGTTTTCCCGCATCTGAAGCATGTGATAGATTTCTTACTTTGTGAATTGCCACCTTTCTCTGCACTTGAATCTTCTTCTTTAGTCTTATCCAGGCTGATGTATTCTTCTTATTTGCTTCCCTTTGAGAAGAGAACAGCTCAGATTCAAATTTTTTTGCCATTTGTTTAGCCAAAGCTTCTTGATTAGAGAGCAAGTTCTCTAACTCCTCTACAGAAGGCTGCTGTGACCATCCCTGAATAGAGGTGACGAAAGGCCCATACTCCTTTCTCAATCCACCGACAAGATACTGACGTAAACCGCTTCACTAATCTTGTCATCCGCATCTATCTCTGAAATTTCAGCACATATACTTTTACTCGTAAAAAGTATTCTGAAATTGACATACCTCCTTGTTTTAACATTGCCAACTCATTCTCCAATAGCTGCAACCTTGCTGTATTCTTCTTAGTACACAGCTTCTCAAGCGTGTCCCAGACTCTTTGGAGAGCTAACATCACGAACATGATCAATAAACTCTTTGCTGATAGATGTCCTCAAAGCAAAAAGAGTCTTGCCACACTTGATCTTCCATTTCCTTCGTGACTCGGCATGCTCAGGAATATCAGTAGAATCCCTGCATCAGCACCGATACCTAATTCCCACAAATCCTGACCTTGAAGATACGCCCCATACACATTCTCCGTACTTGTAGTTATTATTGCCTACAAGCTTCTCCATCCCTACTGAGTATTTCCCTCGTTTGCTACCTCCTTGCGCAAACAAACAAAACTTTCTTCTCACAACTTTCAAACTCCTGCAACAAGACAAGCTTGATAGACAAGACAAAAGAATGGCCTTCCCTGGCTCTGATACCATAAAATAAAAGAAGAATAAAGTAAAGAGAGAAGGCCAAGTGAAAGTTAATAAAAGCTTTATTAAATGAGAAATACAATAAAAACTTGGTGAGAAGAATGCGTAGTTCAACTCAATCACATCAGCAATTTAAAGACCTGTTCCCCTAAGCCACTTCCACAAAATCTCTCCAACCACTCCCATCATATTTACCACTACTACCACTACTAAATCTTATCTAGATAAAACAAAATAAAAACAACCCAGGCCACTTCCCACGTGAACAAGCCTCACGTGATAGATATTGACTTGGTAAACAAATTAATAAAATAGTAATGAACCACACACGTTTAGTTGCACTAATTTTTTGACATTAGGGTCAAGCCCAACAAGTCCCTGCCCAAATAGCAGATTAGCCGACGGGTTAAATGGAATCTTTTCAAATGACCCACCGGTGAGGACCTCCTTAATCATATCCGGATCAGATATGGCAAGCCGGGGCACTGACCCGAACCAGTACAAAAATGTTCTTCCATACATGCCGGACCATCTGTCATACAGAGGCATTGCACGGCAAACAATATCATGGTCAAAGCCCAGTACTGGCTTTGACGCTGCTTCAACGTACATACGGCGGATCTCCGCCGAGTTTCCGGTGATCAAGCGGTAGCCAGGGCCGCTTATGCCTTGCTTTTTGAAATGGTTTTGGATCCGATACGGGATCCATATGAATGTGTGAACATATTTTACCAGAATTATAAGAAGAATCAAGAAAAAAGAAACTAGAAGGAGGTGCATATTGGAAGAGAGATCCATAATAATGGTGGGTTTTACTTTTTAAGTCAGAACTCGTAGCTTTAATGACTAGGGGAGTCAACTATTTTTATGAATAAATTTTTTTATGGGTTTGGCTACGACATCGCTTATGTCATTTGATGCTTTGTCCAAATATAATTTTACATTTTAAAATGTTCATTAAATACAGGTAAAGCCTGAAAGAGATAATGGCAACTGAACAGTTTACAAGCACAAATCTGATACATTTACAAGCATAAAATATTGATATAGACGCATTTATTATTCTAATGCTTTCACTTCCCAAAAGCATCAGCTGTTATTTCTGAATCTTGGTGAAGAGGATGGGAGCACCAAGCTGAGGTTGCAATGTTACGAATTGCATTGGGGCATGAATGTAAGTTGGCAACTGCACAAAACTAAATTTTTGGAGGATCATTGATAGGATGACTTTTGCCTCAACCATGGCTAAGTTTTGGCCTACACAGATTCTGGGGCCTAAACCAAATGGGAAAAATGAGGCTAAGTGCTTTCTGGATTTGTTAAACCTTAGCGGATTATGTTAAATAATCCAAAGAAATAATAATAAAAAAGAGGAGGCTAGGGTTTCATTGATACTGTACAATTCAATTGAATACTAAAAGTATGATTTAACCTAAATACAAAAATATATATAGGCTAAACAAAGGAAATAATGAAAAGACAGATCTACCCTTAATAAACAATAAAATAAAATAACCCATATTTCTTAACATCTCCCCTCAAACTCACGATGCGGCGGTTACAAGCATCGAGAGTTTGCCAACTAGAAAACGAAAACGGGAAATAGAATGCGACTTTGTAAAAAAATCTGCAATCTACAAAGAAGAAGAAACAAAGGGCAAGGTAATGGTGCCATGCTTGAGATGATGACGAGTAAGGTGACAATCGATCTCAATGTGCTTAGTTCGTTCATGAAAAACCAAGTTGTGAGCAATCTGAATAGAACTCTGGTTGTCACAATACATAGGAGTGGGATGAGAAAAAGGAACGCCCATATCTGCAAGTAACCAACGTAACCAAACAATCTCTTTGGTAGTAGATGCCATAGCGCGATATTTTGCTTTGGTTGAAGATTGAGAAACAATGGATTGTTTCTTGCTCTTCCAAGAAATAAGAGAATCACCCAAAAAGATACAGAAACCAGTAACAGACTTGCGATCCGTGGGATCACTGCCATGATCAGCATCAGAGTATGCACGCAGCTCCAAGGAAAAGGTGGATGGAAGTAAAAGACTCTGAAAGACTGTACCCCGAAGATACCGCAAAATACGAAGAACAGCTATCCAATGAACTGTAGTAGGAGAAGCAACAAACTGACCAACAACATGAACAGCATATGCAATATCTGGACGAGTAATAGTGAGATATACCAAACTCCCAACAACAGTACGATATAAAGTAGGATCTGACAAAGGTAAACCATCAGAAGAAGAATACTTTGCATTAACCTCAATCAGAGTATCGACAGTCTTATTATCAGTAAGTCTAGCCCGCTCAAGAATATCTGCAACATATTTCGATTGAGAGAGAAGATAACCTCTATGTGAGTAGGCTACCTTAATACCCAAGATACGGTAGAGAACCCAAATCCTCCATTTCAAACTGTTGAGCTAACTCTGTCTTCAAAACTGAAATACCAAATATAATAATCTGTCATCAACATATAAAGACAGAATGATATGACCTGCATCAGTGCACTTAACAAAAAAGCAGAATCATGACTACTAGAAGCAAATCAAGGAAGAGATCACAATAGAAAATTTCTCAAACCAAGCACGAGTGGTGGTTGTTTAAGACCATATAACGCTTTCTCAGCTTGCAAACATACAGATCATGTGAAACACCAGGAGGGGGCGCCATATAAACTTCTTCTGAAGATCTCCATTCAGAAGGCATTTTAACATCAAGTGAGAGATATGCCACTGACGAACCGAAGCTACTGCAATAAGAGTTACATAGTAGTCATTTTTGCAACAGGAGCAAATGTCTCCTCATAATCCATACCATACTGTTGAGAGTACCCTTTTGCAACCAACCTAGTTTGTATCGCTCATAGATCATCAAATTAGTCTGATCTTATACACCCAACGACAACCAACAACAGTCTACCAGGAGGTAGAGGAACCAAATCCCAAGTACTGTCTTATGCAAAGCCGAAAGTTCCTCATCCATAGCTTGTTGCCAAAGAGGATCAAGATTGCCTCTTATCGGAAGAGGGCTCGAGAGACATGAATATAAGCAAAAAGAAGCAAAAGATGAAGAATAACAAGAATAAGCAAAATTGGTAACTTTGTGGACTTACGAATGCATATGGATTGACGTAGAGGTGGATCCACAATCTCAGACGAAGCTTGAGTGACCATAGGAGAAGAGGGAGCTTCAGGTGGCTAGAGAGTAAAATGTCAGTACCTGCAGAATGATCAGTACTAGGAACTTGAGATGAAAAAACTATCAGAATCCTCAGAAAAAAGATCTATACGAATTAGATCAGATCTAGTCAAGGTATGAGTAGTGGATGGAATAAGAAAGAAAGGTATATGCTCAAGAAAAACAACATGACGAGACACATAAAGTTTCTGAGTGATTGGATCAAAACAACGATACCCCTTTTACTCTTCACCATAACCAGAAAGACACAAATAGCAGATCGAGAGGACAACTTGCTGCGTTCTACATGAGGACGAAGAACGAAACAAGTACAACCAAAAACTTTAAAGGAGATAATCAGGGTATACCCATACAACTTTTCGAAGGAGGAAAAACCTGAAATTGAGAAGATGGAATTTTATTAATCAAACTACAGCAGTGTAAACAGATTCACCCCAAAACACACTAGGAACAGAGGCAGACAATAAGAGAGAACGAGCAAGTTCCAACAATGTGCCTATGTTTTCTTTCAGCACACACATTTTGCTCAGGAGTATCTGTACACGAGGTTCGGTGACAGTTCCATCTAATGCAACAACTCAAAAATTTATGAGGTGTATTCCCCACCCAATCACACCTAAAAAACATTTGATAATAACAGAATGTTGAGTTTTGACAAGAGCTCGAAAGGCTGTATATATCTCAAAGAATTCAGAACGATGTTTTATTAAATAACCCAACAATAACGAGTATGATCATCAATATAAAGAAACATAATATCGAGACCCCTTTTGTGGCAACAGGAGAAGGTCCCCATACATCAAAATTAATCAAATCAAATGGAGAAGAAGAAACGAAATACTTCGATTAAAAGGTAAAGTTGAAAATTTTGCCAGTTTACTCACTACAATCAGAAATATCACAAGTTTGCAAATTTCCTAAAGCCCCCTGGATGCCAAAAATCTCAACGAGAAGACGAAAACATGACCTAAACGAGAATGCCATAAATAAAAACTAGAAGAAGAAGGACTTAAACGAAAAAGAAGACAATCAACATAGTAGCGGTAGCATCAGCACTAGTAGCAGCAACAACTGGCACTTTTAACTCATCCAAATAATAGTCCCCCCTTCTTACGGCCTGTCCAATCAGCTTCTAAGACTGTAGATCCTGCACATAACAAGAAGAAGAGGAAAATGTGACAAATTACCAGAATCACATAACTGACCACAGAAGCAAGATTTAATGTAAGTTTTGGAATATGTAAACATTAGAGAGAGACAAGTGAGGTGTGACAACAGAACCAACACATGCTAAAGGCATGGAGTGCCATCAGCAGTCATGACAGAATAGAGACGAAGGAGACACAGAAGCAAAAGATGAAGAACTTGGAGACATATGATGGAAGCACCAGAATCCAAACCTATACAGAATGTGACATACCTGAAGAATATAGGTAATTGACCTACGGAAGAAGAAGCAGAGATAGCTGTGGCTGTAAGGAGAGAAACTTCTGAAATTGCTCAGCCAGAGTACTAGGATCGGTGAAAGGACCGATGAAACTACTGCTGCCGTATTAGACTGTGGTGGTTTGTAACCCTGAGGTGCTCTATAAGCATTAGATTATGACGGTTGCTAGGCTTCCAAGCTTGAGATTGCGTTGCGATTGATTCTGCTGCCTTAACTTAGGACACTGAGCTTCAATGACCTTTTGCTTACAGAAACTACACTCGTCGAAGGCAACCCTTGTGTAAGGTTTATTCGATTATTAAAGACTGGCTTCAAGGTGCTAACACAGAAGGATTAGAAGTAGAAGCAGAAAGAATTCCCTTTTCAGAATGAGACTTAAGACTTATTTCTTCAGCCAATAACTCACTGACAACTGAGTCAACAGAAGGCATGGAGAACGATACAAAATTGAACCTCTAAGTCCTTCAAAATCACTGCGAAGTGCCGTTAAAAATTACACCAATCGTTGGCTCTATGAGCAATATAGGCACCACATGCCTTAATTCTGTAGATTCGTAAGAGCAATTGATCCCAAAGATCTGTCATAGTAGAATAAAACTCATGAACATCATATTCTTCTGCTGAAGAGCTCGTATGTCATTCTCCAATTGATACTGCTTTGCAAATTTGACTGAGTAAATAACCTTTGTAGATGATCCAACACCTCCGCTGTCTCATACTTCGCTAATTGTGTACCTATGGAATGCCCAACAAAATTGTTAATCCAAGTAATAATTTTTGCATTGTTTGCTTCCCAGGACATATCAAAGCTCATAACCCTCATTAGTATTCTTAGGTTTCACAGAAGTTCCACTAACATACCCCACATCTTTTACCCTTAAGAAATTTCTCATCACATAACTCCAATACGAATAATTCTGTCATCTAACTCACACTTACAGACTGAAGCAAATCGTTCTTTCAGTAGCCATATTCAACAACAAAGAAAACCAGAATGCAAAAGAAAGGAAAACGAAACCAGATTGTGAAATTGAACGATACACACGAAATACCAGATTGCCGAAATTGAACGAATACCAAACGAAATATAGATTGCAACAACGAACGAATACCCTCTCAAAAATTTTCGGGCTCTGCCCTGAAC